GGTGGGTGTCATGGCATGTTAATGATGCCATAAAGCTCTGCCAGTACTCAGGATGCTAGGCACTCTTTGAAGGGAATCAGCAGGAACATTGTACCTCCAAAATGCTGAATTTGACCCAGATGGATCAAATTGTAGGATGCCCTCCACAGAGTATATCATCTACTTGGTCCAGTGAACTCATTGCAATCACTCAACCTGGGAGACACATTTCCCTGCTTCTCCTCCCTGTAATCATGGGGGAGGAAAGCCACCTCACTGCTTTACAGGAGGAACACCCTCATGCCAAAATTTAACACCTGTAACTCCTCAAAAGCAGGTAACATGATATGCCCCCCAAAGCCAGCTCTCTCATCCTCATCTCATGGAACATTGCAGGCTGGCCAGTTAGTCCCAAAGACCGACTTTTTGTGTTAGGTTCTACTCCAAATGTGATCTTTTTTTGCAGGAAACGTGGGCTACATTTAACTTGGAGTTGGATGGATTTTGTATTATGGCTTATATGGCAATGCCACACAGGGAGTGTGGAGACCTGGAGGAGGACTAGTCCCATTAGTTAGCCCAGGTTTGCATCCTGATCAAACAGATCATATCCCGAAGGTTGGGGGCTAGCAATTATAGTACCAAAACACAAAAAGCATAATGAGAAAAATCTGCCCTCTTATAGGCCCATTAATCTTTTGAGTGTGCGTAGCAAATTATATGCCAAGCACCTAAACTGTATGCTTCAAGACTGGAAGGAAATTGGCGATGAGCAAGGAGGATTTGCATAGGGATGGTCAACAATAGATCATATTCTTGTATTGCACCATTTCATACCGAATTATGTTCAGAAAATGACATCCACTAAATACATGGATTCTTAAACTTCATATTTGCCTGTGTCTACAACTATTTTATGGGAGAAACTAAAACAACCTCTTTATTGAAGTACTGAAAGGTCCCTCTTTTTTTTTTTTTCCAGAACTGAATAAAAAGTAGGGTTGTTGTGATGTATGTATGTATGTATGTATATCAACTCTGTTAGAAATCCTAAAGAACCCAGCCTTCCATGCTCCTCAAATTGAAGACC